TAGCTCTCTGTCCCTCTCCCTTCCTCTCGGTGAAAAATCAATAAAATATATTTTTAAAAAATCAATGATGAGAGAGAATCATTGATCGGCTACCTCCTGCATGCCCCCTACTGGAGATAGATCCCACAACCCAGGCATGTGCCCTTGGCTGGAATCAAACCTGGGACCCTTCAGTTCGAAAGCTGACTCTCTATCCACTGAGTAAAACCAGCTAGGGCTGGACTCTTTATATTTTTAAAATTTTAAATTATTTTATGAAAATATAGTAAATAAACAGATAGTTAAACCAACGAAATAATTGAAACATAGCAAACCAAAGGTTTTTCTGTAATTTTTCTGGTTTTGAGGGTATATATACCTGACATAGGCAATGGCCTTTGAGTGCACTGATGTGTTTATCAGTTTTCATGTGTGAAATGGGAAATATTCATGTCATAAATACTGATTCCAGATTTTATTTTATTTATTTATTTATTTATTTATTTTATGACAGCCCTAGCCACTTTGGCTCAGTGGATATGATTCCAGATTTTAAATACATTTCTGGTGGGTTATAGCATATCATTTCTGTTTTTTGGGTTTTTTACATGTGCATACAGTGTAATACTATTGAAAAGTTTGAAGGCTCATAATTTTGGAAAAAAGAGGTTGACCATCTTTTGGTCCCATAATTACGAAAACATTTTTATTTTTAGTTTTAACACCATAAATTTGATTAATCCAATGAACTTCTTAAATTTTTACATCGTATCTGCCCTTTCAATCACCTTTGTGTATATACCTACCTTCAGTATTTGTCCATTTATGAATCATAGCAAGTAAATTTTTATCTATGCATATCATAAAAGATAAAACAGTTGTTACATGTCCTTTTATCAAAACAAGATGGTCCAGGTTCTTGTTGCAAAATAATAAATGATTAAGTCCCTCCTGATGAATGACTGGTTAAAATGTCATATTCCTCTTTGTGTTTATAAATTGTTCGCTCTTTGATTTTTCAATTTGAGAAAATTTATTTATTTATCCTAAAGACTCATAGTCCAAGATTTTTCTCATTCAGTCAATTAAGTCTCTAGTGTTTCTGTCTCTCTGCCTTCATCTCTGACTCATCTAACAATTGTGAAATGTCCTTGTTAATTTCCCTCTCTTTCCCATTATGGACAGAAATGAAACAATTTGAATTCTTAACTATGTTCAGTGAAAGCTAAAAAGAATGTGACAAAGGTGGTGCCTCCCAATTTTTGTATACCCTTTTGAAAAATAATACATTACTTTGGACAACACAAAAAGGAAAGTGAAGGATGATGAAATAGTGGTGACGTGTTTATTTATTCACTAGGGGCCTGGTGCACAGATTCATGCACATTGAAAGGAAGTTAATTAGAAGAAATATTTTATCGCTATTCACCCTTTCTCTATAATAGAAGTGTCAACCAAATTCACAATCAACAATGACAGATCGAAACACACACGTGTGACTGGTGCCAGTGAGAGCTTTGTATATATCACACATATGCGAGTCAACATTTATTTTTAAATTGCCAGTACGTGTCATATGTACCAGCCAGCCATTCAGTTCGATGGTTGGACGGTCGGTCACTTAGCCTTATATAAAGAGAGATTTCTAGGCAGTTCTGTAATGTTTTTGTTTCCTTATTTTTTAGGAGTTTTTTTTTTAGCATAGTTGGAAATAATGAGTGATGATGAAATAGCTTTTAGGATGATGAAATAGCAAAATGTTTCAAGGTTTAGGAAAAATCACTAAGATTCCATATCATATCTTGGGTTTATAAAAAGATCAATGGACTTAAATGACAATAGTAAGAGAATGAGTTTTATTCCATTAAAAACAAATAATTTTTCTCTTAGATTGAGTTAGAAGACCTCTATGAAACAATAAAAGTCATGAAATATCCATCCTTACAAATAGAACTGCTCAGCAAAGAAACTTAAAAACTAACATTGGATCATGATGATTTTCCAAAGATTGAGAAGTAGATAAATAGTGGATAAAAGGAATAAATATTGGCAAGACTCCTTGTTCCTTAAATCTGATAATAATACAGTACTTGGGAATCCTTAATAAAATTAACCTCTTTTTTTTTTGTTACCTTAGAAATCACATAGTGTTTCAAAGGAACATGCAGATATGATCAGCTGTGGACTGTTAGGAAATTTGTTAAATGGAATGAAAAGAGAACTAGACCAGGAGTCTAAAAACTGTAGCTCTAATTCAGGCTTAGACATCAGTTAACTAGTTGTGTTTCTTTGGACTGAGCAATCCTGGCAACCAGGGTGTAATGTGAAGAGCAATAGACTGAATCAGAGCCACCCCGAGAACCTGCTTCTTAGGACTCTTACCTTCCCGGCCTCTCTGTTGTCTCATTTTCTGTAGAGAGAATAAAGCCCTGCTGTTAGGGGTGTTGTAAATATTTAATGAATTACTAGAGACTATGTAAGACGCTGACTGGAAGGCTGGAACCCTTAGGCATCTTTGCCGCTCCAGTGGCGAGAAGTAGCTAAGTATTTATTGAATAAATGAATACATTATACTAAGTATGTTTGTAAATTGCATATTAAAATGTATGAAATTACAAGGTCATTGTGCTTGTGCTTAATACATTTGTATTAAGTGCTATACAGATATAAGATATTTTTTCCCCTTTATCTTAAAAAGCCTTCAGGAAAAGATAACTTCTTCAACACAGACTCATTGTTTTATCAAAGCCAGGAAAAAGTGAAGCTTTGGAATAATATAGAACTTAATATTTAAAATTGTAACTCTGTAATCATTTCGCCTCATCTGTGATTGTTAAAATGGCAGGCAATAGGAAACCAGATTACCACTGACTGACTCCCAAGTTCAGAAACTTTCATTGTCATGCCATTAATGTTACAGAAAACATCTCTGTGCATTCTTTGACTTTTAATAGTCCAAACTATTCCTTTGGGTTTCTTTCTTAATGCTATAAAATTTTTGAATTTTCTTTGCCTATATTTCCCCTTCTTTTTTTTAACTCACGTCTTATAAATCTTCTGAGAAATTGACTCAAATAATTTCTTAAACCATTAGTCTCTTTGCCATTTTAATAAAATCTTCATTTTTTATATAAGGAAACCAAAGCTCTTAAGAAAGCCTAGAGAGACCAATTTGAAAGTTATAGACCTTTCCCTCTGCTGAGCCATGTAACCTACCAAGCAAAGAGAGAGAAATCTCATTTGGGTTCAACTTGTAACTTGTTTGATTCACTAGTTAGTTTGGTCTGAGTGATTGCTCGATTCAGGATCTGACTGTAAATTAAGTAAATGCTTATACACTGAGAGGCCAGATTATTATGACCACCTGACGTTTCTAGGCAAATTAGCTATAATTTCGCGCTGAAGTTGCTAGAGGGCCAGACCATTATAAATAGGGAAGCAGGTTGTTTACCACGACAGTAGAAGTGATTTTTTTCTGAAGATATGGGTAAACAACGTGATTTAACAGCCTTTGAACGTGGGATTTATTTGAACGTGAGTGGCCAGATTATTATGACCACCTGACATTTGTAGGCAAATTATCTATACACTGCATCGTATGGGATATGGAAGCCGAAGGCCTGTTCGAACACCTTTGCTGTCTGCAGTTACCAAGATAAAACGTCTCCAATACGCACAGAAATACAAGGATTGGATAGTTGAGCATTGGAAAAAAGTCATGTGGTCCAATGAATCACGTTTCCAGTTGCATCATGCAGATGGCAGAGTGAGAATTTGGTGGAAACAGCATGAAAGCATGCATCCCACATGCATGAGTACAACCCTTCAAGCTAGTGGGGGCAGTGTTATGGTTTGGGGCATGTTTTCCTGGCATGATTTGGGCCCTTTAATTCGTGTGGAACAACGTCTGAGTAGCACAACATACCTAAGTATCGTTGCTGATCAAGTTCATCCTATTATGTTGATGGCATATCCCAATAGAGATGGCTTCTTCCAACAAGACAATGCGCCATGCCACGGTGCTCGTATTGTGCAGGAGTGGTTTCAAGAACATGAGGGAGACTTTACCTTGCTTAGGTGGCCCCCACAATTCACCAGATCTCAATCCAATTGAGCATTTGTGGGATGAAGTTAAAAGAGCCATCAGGCAGCTGGTTCCACAACCATCAAATCTCACAGAACTGGACAGTGCTATTCATCAGGGATGGTGTCAGATTCCTCGCATCACCTTTCAACATCTCATGGAGTCAATGCCAAGAAGAATTGCTGCAGTATTGAAGGCAAAAGGTGGCCCAACGAAGTACTGCTGGGGTGGTCATAATAATCTGGCCACTCAGTGTATATATACATCCCACATTCAAAGGCTGTTAAATCGCGTTGTTGACCCATATCTTCAGAAAAAAATCACTTCTACTGTCGTGGTAAACAACCTGCTTTCCTATTTATAATGGTCTGGCCTCTAGCAACTTCAGTGCGAAATTATAGCTAATTTGCCTAGAAACGTCAGGTGGTCATAGTAATCTGGCCACTCAGTGTATATTTCAGCACCTTCAAGTTTCCCTGTGAAGACGCTTATGCCTCTGACAGAGAAACTAGGATCTAAGGTTTGACCACTGTCAGTTTAATCCACAATTTACTCCTTATGTGTATTGGCCAGAGCTTGGATGATGGATCAATAAATATTTTCCTAGCCCCAGTGTATGTTTTCTATGTTTATGAGACTATCCTTTCATTTCTTTTTGACTCTCTCACTGGCTGACAGGTTCACTGTATTTAATCTTTGGATGACATTGAGGTAAAAAAAGTCATAGAGGAAATTTCTGAATTAGGGGCAGGGGGAAGCTGGACTGCATACTGTTTAAGGGTCTCTTACAACTCTTCATATTCTGTACTTTACCTGCATAGCAGCAAGCATATAGAGTAAGTATGATTACTGTGATACTTCCGTAACAGTTTGCCTCTGACTGGCTTCCTGTCACCTGTCTCACCAATCCCATTCTGCTGTTTACTCCTTTAGATTTTTATTAACAACGAGTGGCAGAACTCAGAGAGCGGGAGAGTGTTCCCTGTCTATAATCCAGCCACAGGAGAACAGGTGTGTGAAGTTCAAGAAGCAGACAAGGTACGTCCTTTTTAGAAAAAAGACTCCCTGAGAAGTTACTTTCCAGACACCACCACTGACATTTGAGAGCGGTTGGTTCTTCCTTTACCTGGAGTGTTGTCTCGCTTCAGTTGTGCGTCGTTCTCTCTAACAGGCGGATATAGACAAAGCAGTGCAGGCAGCCCGCCTGGCGTTCTCCCTTGGATCAGTGTGGAGAAGGATGGATGCTTCTGAAAGAGGACGTCTGTTGGATAAGCTCGCAGACTTGGTGGAACGAGACAGGGCAGTTCTTGCAGTAAGTAGCCTAAGCAAACATTGTCTTTACCCCAAATTTACCTTTCCACTGAAATTCAGATTCCTCACTCTTTATGAAAGTATGATGTGAAGCAGACCGGGGGAACAAGCTACGGAGTATGTAACACAAGAGAGATGTTTGGCTTTTGCATCAGGTGGGGGAGGTAAGTGGAGGACCAGCTGAGAGTCTCTTCTTACTTAATTTTGAAGAACAAAACCTTAGCTTCCCATGACTGGTAAGGGCCTTCCTGCCTCCCTCCCGCCCTCAACAAACAGAACAAGCCTCTTAAGCAGCAGGAGAGTCCCCATGCTGCTTGCAGAAAACCAATACCAAATGATTCATTGAAGAATCAAAAGGACAGTTTTTGACTCCCCAGAGTTAACCCCTCTTGACTAAGGAGACTCCTTCAGGAGCACGGGGCGTGATGGGGACGCCTGGTGCACTCCTGCTGCCTTTGTTCTGTCCCTCTCAGCTACTTCCTTTCACTAAAACGGTCTTTTTCTTACACAAGGAACGTTCCTCTCTTAATGTTTTTGTTGTTGTTACTGCCAGTTTTTAAAGTAAAATCATTTTGTTAGAGAAAAGACTTTTTGGAAGCTGGAACCATTGGGGAATGCCTGTTCGGTACACAAGGGATCCCCACGTGGATGACGTACAACTGATCAATTAATAGTTAGGGCATCGTTGCTCAGTCAGGGCATTCAAACCACGAATACTAGGTCCTGCTGTCTGCTTGGGCAAACAGGTCCCCGTGGGGCTCGCTTTGGGAGAAGCAGGCATCCGTACCCTTCCTCAGTTCACACCTCCCAGGGCCCCTCCCTCCCACCAGCCCCTCAGGGATCAGTTCAGAGTATGGAAACAAAAATGCATCCTCATGGAGATGGTTTGGAACGCTAGCTATACGTCACCTTTATTCATCTATAAAACCGTTTCCTAATCAAGTCCTTCAAGGAGGTGCTTATTTATATTGTGAAAAAGGTGTTTCATGGTGAAATGGCTCCTTCTTGGAGATTCACAAGACACCAAGCATATACACGAATCTGAAAAGCCCTACCCAGTGTTTCTCAAACTTATTTAAGCCTCAACACCATTTTTTTTTGGCTAACCTATCAATATCATGCAAAACTGAATTCTCTGGAATAGCTTAGGGTATTCCAAGGTATATGATTTTTTTGAGAATGAAAATTATATTTTACTTTAAAAAATCTCTAGCACAGTTCCTGGCACATAGTCAGTGGGAGGTACTCTGAGGGTCTGTAACGGTCAGCTTGATTGAGTTAAAGACACAATATTTACAACATCAGATTAACAAAATGTACTAAATGATGGTATAGCTCATTTTTGCAGTTATAGATTCATGTCATAGAATTCAAATGCCATTCTTTTTCTGACATATGTCTCACTGTGACGACACTTGAATGGCCTCTCTTCCTTTAAACCCTACCAAGTCACGAGAGGCGTGAGTGTTAGTAAGAGGTGGCCTCTGGAATGTAGGGGAGCTCCTGCCCGAACTGAGGTTAATACTGTATCCGAGTAAACACAGTTGAAAATAAACCTAGTCTGGCAGCTCTCAGGCCGATTTGGCTGGTATCAGTAGCTCCTAGGGACCATTCACGTGGCCCAGATTTTCATTATTGACTCTATTGCACTCTCTGCTGTGTAGATGGCTCTATGCTAGACGTGGAGAATGTAATGCTCATCTCATGAACATATAAATATTATAAAAAGTACTAGGAAGTAATTTGATTTCTTTTAATAAAGGTGAGTCGATGTACAGTGATAAGTAACACAATATTTTATTTTTTTGAGGTGACATGGTTAATAGGATCATATAAGTTTCAAGTGTGCATTTCTATGATACATGATCTGTATATTGCATTGTGTGCTCCCAATTCAAAGTCAAATCATCGTCCATCACCATGTATTAGGCCCCCTATAACCTTTACCAGCTTCCCACCCACCTCTCTGTGGTAACCACCACATTGTTGTTTGCATCTATGGGTTTCAGTTTTATATGCCACATATGAATGACATCATATGGTTCTTAGCTTGAGAATACTATGCTCAGCAAAATAAGTCAGTCAGAAAAAGAAGCTAAGTAACATGATATTTTAAAATGAATTTCATCTTATACACACAGTAAGTGGATAAGTTGCACTGTAAATAATAGTATTTTCATGTTATGGGATGGAGAATATTTCAATTTTAGTTTTCAGTGCTCAGTTTTCATACCACTATGTTTTATAAAATGTCCTTATAGAAAAGGACATGAGATTACAAACATGTTTTGTTTCTTTCATTTGTTCACCTTGCAACACTGTTAATATTTCTCAAGTCAAAGTACTCTTTTCTCATTTCAGTGTATTCATTTCTAGTTCTTTTTGTTACGGATTTAACCACTTTAGGAACATGTGATTAAAATAATAACATTTATAATCTAAAACTGCCTTATATCTCTATTTTTATTAAATGAACCAGATACTTCACTCTCAATATATAATGGTTGCTAACATAAATATTTACAAAAAAGCAGCCCTCGAGTAGTTAAAGTCTGAGCTTCCCTGGAGGAGACCTTGTTTATTTGGTGGCAATAAATAAACTCACTGTGCGCCGTGGATATTCCATTCCTCAGCAGGGGTCTTGGCAGCTGTGGAAAACGTTTTATATTCTCATCAGTTGCATAAAAGCCCATGTCCCTGCTCCTCTTTGTGGACTCAGATTACTGGTGTGGACTCTGACCCCCCCTCCCTTCCCAGCTCTGATCACTAATATAAGAGAAGGTGGTTTGACCAGAGAGTATTTGTTTATCACCAGTTGAAGAAATCTCGTGTTTATGCACTTGGATAGTGATTACTGGGAGCACGCAAGCCCAAGAACATGCACAGATATAGTCGTTGTGATTTTTACTGGAAACTAAACTGGCAGTACTGAAATCTTTGTATTTGAGAAATCAGAGTTGACCAGGTATGCATCACTGTCCATATTCATCTGTGCTCTCTCGCTTTCTTTTTTCTTCTGCTCCAGAAATTATATAGCGTATCACTGGAAAGTTCTCTCTGTTTCTTTTCCCGCAGACCATGGAATCCCTCAATGGTGGCAAACCGTTCCTGCAAGCTTTTTATGTGGATTTGCAGGGGGTCATCAAAACGCTTCGGTATTACGCAGGCTGGGCTGATAAAATTCACGGGATGACCATTCCTGTAGGTATGTGAAATCTGAGTACATTGGAAAAGGAAACAGGAGACCCCACCGGAAACACACTTTTCACCACCAAACACAAGGAGCAGTCACATAGAATGCAGATATGAGCACACTTAGAGCAGACTGAACCAAACAAAGAGCCAAACAGATTACATCACTCGGATAATGACCCTATTTCTACACACAGACAGTTCACATATAAGTGCAGGGTCAAGCCACTTACATCAGTACATCAGTCAGCCAAGGAACAGGTATGTGTTTGTCAGCTGCTGAGTGCTCAGCACTGGGCTAGGTTAGGTTCAGAGCCGGGGAGAGGCCTCGGGTGTGGGAAGTCTGGGAAAATTCTGAGCAGATTAAGGCATAGTTCTTTCCCTCCTGAAACATAAGATCTATTTGTTTAGAAGGAAATACTCTAAAATGTTAACAGTTGTTTTCTCTTGGTGGTGAGATTATGGATGACGTATTTCTTTTTAAAAAATGCTTTTCCATATTGACCATGAATTACTTTCACAATCTATAAAAACAACAACCATCCTGATGCCTTTCTTTTTCTTTTTTGTTAAGTCATGTGGCTCAACCTATCAGTACTGTATTCCTTTAAAGGAGAGAGAAAATATCCAGACTGAGTTAGTTGGTGGAAAGTTCCTGACCTGAGCGTGACTATTAGGGATAGCGAATACCACATGGAGTGCTTGCCCAGCACCCCAAAAGGAAGGCACTGTTATTAACCTCCTCACTGACAGAGGAGGAAACTGAGGCCTCGGGAAGTTAAATGGTTTTTCTAACTAACCCAGCTAGAGTTGTAGAGCTGAAATTTTAATAGTAGAGCCTGGTGACTAGGCTCACTAGAGGATCCATTTTACCTACTGGGAGGAAGAGTTATGGCAGGAAAGGGACCGACTGAAAGAGCTATGTGGATGGGAGTGTGAATAGATATAAGGGAAGAAAATACATGTTTATTGAGTGGCCCCTGGAGGTTGCCAAGTCCGGTGCCAGGTATTCTACCGGTGTTCTCCGGAACACAGCCTGCTCTCCCTGTGCGTACTAGGAAGAGTGTGAAGTAATGCTGGCATCCTGGAAGTGCCCTGTGAGGCCTTCCTAGACTGAAGATTATAAATATATGTATATATATATATATATATATATATATATATATATATATGTATATATATATATCCAACAATCAGAACCCTGGAATGATCAGAATGACCGGTCACTATGACGCCCACTGCAGCTGGCCAACGGGCCTGATTGGGGGCAGGGACAGCTGGCCAACTGCCTGCGGCCCCTCCCCCTAGCTGGCCCCATCCCCGATCAGCCCCCATCGGGGTGGGCTGGCAGGACCCCAGCCATGCACGAATTTGTGCACCGGGCCTCTAGTTGGTTTATAAAAAGGGGATGGTTGGTTGATAGTGCAAATGGCTTAGAGCAGTTCTTCTCAAACTTTATTGTGCCTGTGTACCACCTGGGATCTTCAAGTGCAGTTTCTGATTGAATAGGTCTGGGGTGGGGCCTGAGATTCTGTATTCCTAACCAGCTGCCAGGTGATGCCTGGACTGCGGGGCCTCTGCCTTGAGTAGCAAGGAGAGGGTAGAGACCAGCACGGAGCAGGCACCTGTTCTCTCAGGTCCTGTGTTAAGCATTGGGGACTACAAAGGTGAGTAAGTAAGATGCTCATAAAATAGTAAGGAAAAGCAGTAAGTAGACAAGCAAATGCAGTGCAGTGTGGTTTGTTCAGATGTGGAAGCATGAAGTTCAATGGGAATCCATAGGAGAGGCAATCTTAGCCGGTATTAAGGTTTCCTTGAGAAGGAGTTGAGATGAACAAGATGATACCCGAAAGGTAGGTAAGTAAAGATGGAGATAGGGCCATCACAGATGGTGGCAATGCCTGTGCAAAGCATGGGAGGAGGAGAGTACAGAGTGGTAGTGGATCTGAAAGTATAGCCAGATATAGAAGACAGTGGGGCTCTGAGGCTGGGAAAACTACGCTGCACATTTTATTCCAATGGTGAGTCACTGAATTATTTTAAACACATGAGTGCCATGATCAAAATTGCACTTTGATTACATGATGGACAATCAGTTGGGGAGAGCAAGTATCTGCTTCCTCCTCCACCCCCTCGTAGGGTAGCCTCCCTCTATTTGGGAGGAGGAGAAAAGGGTTATGGCATGACCATCTGAGCCATCCACTGGACAGCTGCTTCTTCTGACTTGAGAGCCTCTCCCATTCCTCTCCATTGCATCCCACTCAGGGCCCACAGTGGATGTTATCCCGGAATCATGCAGTATCAGTGTGATTCATGAAGGTCTCGATGCTTTTTCCTGCACAGCACTGTCTGTCATTTCCTGCCATGATGCTCAGTGGAGCTGTTGTCTCTGACCATAAATCCTGTGCTCTGACCCTGCTACGATGGCACTTCTAATTATGTTGATAAATAATAACCATTACTATGATTTAGTGAACACCTTATTTGTGCTCATTATATCATCTCTAATCTCATAGCAACCCAGCAGGCAAAGTATTATTTTCCCCATTTTGATCATTTTAAACCTATATTCTCTCATGTCCACAAACTATGATGGAGGATCAAAACTTGTTTGCAATTAATGGAGGGAGAAATGGAGGTTAATTGATTTGCATAAGGTTTTCCTCTGTAACTACCTAGTGTTGATTTTATTGATTTTGTGATATGTAACCAGAGAAAATATAGTTCATGCTTTAAGCTGAATTCCTACAGAATGGCTTTCTATTAGCCTACAGAAAAGGTTAAAAACCTACTCAGGTCATATGTAATTATTTATCCACTTCCATCTCCTTTCAGTTTTATGCGTTAAACGAAATAATCGGTAAAAAGTGCTCAGACATTGACTCAGATCCTAAGGCTTTGCCTTCAACAGCTACATCTAGTTTAGTGCTATTAATGAAGGGCACATATGATGAAATCTTATTGTTCCCTGAGAGGGGGGAGCTATTTGTTCTGCCCACCTAAGAAGAATCAGGGTAGTTAGTGGGACCTGAATTGGTGGTGACAGGAGGTCATGAAGTTACTGTTTCACATGTAACCTCTTTGAGAGGTTTAAGGCTGCAAAGACCTCAAGGATTCCTAAGGCCAATCTCCTCATTTTTCAGACAAAGAAACTGAGGTTCAGAGAAGTAATGTAAAGTCTCAGTGTTTGTATAGGTGTTTATAGTTTATCATTATAGCCGTAAACTGTTCTGCGAGGTCTGTTCAGTATCTGTTCAGTGTCAGAATACATAGGAATCTGCCAGGGGACATGACGGGATGGTTCAGTGTAGCTGGTCTAATTGTTCTAATACTGGAGAGGGGGAGATGACCTCCCATTCACTGAATGCTGTACAGATTTTTATGCTATCAAATAAACTAATTTATTAGTGTGACCAGGTATATCAAACTAACTGCAGTTCTTCAGATACTCTTAGTATTGTAATGTAACCGAGAGCTAGTTCTTGCAGTCCATTTTGGATAAACTTCTCAATTTCTGGCACATTTTAGATTTTTCTGATTTTATTGACTGTACATATTGCCCAATTATACTGTCTAGTTTTTGTATAGATTGTGTCAATGTCAGATATGCTTATGAGAATTCTGTAAAAAAAATTTTTCAAGTAACTATAAAATTTGCTTTAAGAAATAATGTTTACTCTGAAGGAATAATCCAAATAATTAAATTGTTATAATTAACTAAATAATTGCTCTCTCTCCTGTGTAATTTTTTCTTTTTAATCCTCACCCAAGGATACTTGCCCATTGATTTTTAGAGAGAGTGGAAGAGAAAGGGAAAGACAGAGAGAAATATCAATAGGAGAGAAACACATCGATTGGTTGCCTTCTGCACATACCCTGACCAGGGCCCAGGCTGGGGAGGAGCCTGCAACCAAGGCACATGCCCTTGACTGGAATCAAACCCAGGACCCTTTGGTTCACAGGCCGACACTCTATCCACTGAGCCAAACCAGCCAAGTCTCTCCTATGTAATTTGTTGAGTTCCCCTCAAAAAACATAGAACAGTAGCTTAAGTGCATTTCACAAATACAGAGGAAGTTTATTATTCATTTCTAGGGAAGAAGACGATATAATTCTAGAAATGGCTCAATCTACACCTATAAAATTTGATCCAAAATTCAACCAAATTTATCCTATATAATCAAAGGGTAATATGCAAATCGACTGAACCGTGGAACGACCGGTTGCTATGACACACACTGACCACCAGGGGGCAGATACTCCCACAGGGGGAGCACCGCTAAGCCAGAAGCTGGCCTCCGCAGCACTAAGGATGTCTGACTGACATGGGGGGCGGGCCTAAGTTGTCAGTTGGACATACCCCAAGGGCTCCTGGACTGTGAGAAGGCGCAGACTGGGCTGAGGGTCCACACCCCCCGGGTGCACGAATCTCGTGCACCACGCCTCTAGTAGTATGATAATGTCTTTAATTGTAAGAAATTTATATTCCACATGCTGTGTAAACACTCAGGTGTAAAACACATCCGGGAAGTTGTCTCTGGGTGAGTCTTAAACTCCTGTAAGAGTGGTATCTTACTCTATAATTTTACTTTCTTGAGTGAAATGGGAAAGAGGCTGAGAGATAAAAGCCTTACACATGTGATTTAGTATTTCTGTTTCGGTATCTCATCTTTTCTTTAGTTTTCTCCACCATAGTTATTATGTTCTGTCTTGTCAGTTCAGGCTGTGGGATTCAGAACATTTTTTTGGTGTCTTCATCAAATGCAGGCCTTCATGCTGAGTCTGGTTCTCTCTGCTTCATGGTTGGTAAGAAGACGTAAGATCATCGCAGCCCCAAGTAGAGAGTCTGTGTTTGGGTGGAGATGTTTTCTACATGAAGCCCATGAGAAATGAAGGGAACAACCTTTAAGTCATCTTGCCGTACTTGGGGAGCATCCTATATAATAAAGACCTAATATATTAGACCGAACAGCAGAACGACCATCCGAACATCCTTCCAGACGATTGTCCGGATGACCTTCCGGATGAAGTCAGGGCTGCAAGGTCCAGCCAAGGCAGCCGGGGCGGCAAGGGTCGAGCCCCTTGCACGATTTTCATGCATCAGGCCTCTAGTTATTAACATAAAAGATGGGAAAACGGGTGGTAATTTTTCTTCTAGCAGATGAGAGTACTCATTATGTATCACCTTAGGTGTAGAAGGGAGAGAGAGAGGTTATTACTGTTGCTCCTGTGAGTCAACTTGCCTAGGAAAAGGGGAGAGAGGCGTTCAGCCTTGTGCCCTGACCCCCCCCCCCCCTGAGGTAAGGGGGTGTTGCTCTGCAGTGTTCCCTGTATACCTTAAGATGCTGGAGTTTCTGTGAGTTCTCTGTGTCCACATTCCAGATCCTCAAAGAGTCATCCTCACCTTTTACAAAAGAGTTGTCATTTTACCCCATTTGAACTTGTTGACATAACACGGGTCCTATGATTTGTGATATCCACCTAAATCCAACACCTTATTCACAAAAGAGTCTTTAATATGTTTCTAAGGGCAATGAACTTGAAATCTGATGACCTAGTTTCAAGTCCAGGAGCCACAATTTAACCAGTTATATGACTCTGAGCTTAACCTACCTGTGCCATATGTTCTCTATTTATAAAATGCTGATAATAACAGTTGCTGTGTTTTTTTATCTCATCAAATTGTTTTGCACATGAAATAAGAATGTGGAAATATTTTGTAAGGCTCCATAGAAATATATATGTTTTGTTCATATTTTGCTCTTTTAAAAGTATTAAAAACATTGATCAGATTCCCCTACACTTCAGACTCCTTTCAGGCAAATTAGTCGAGTTACCAGAGAGGCAAAAATAAATAAACAGAAATGAAGTCAGCATGAAGCGGCTGTAGGTCATCACGATGCCTGTCGACTCCCATTTACCCTCTTGGTTCCATTGAACCTCGCTGCTCAGAGTGTGATCTGTGGGTCAGAAGTGCCGGCATCACCTGGGAGCTTGCAGAGTCTCAGGTCCCCCAGACTTCCTGACTCAGAGCCTGCATTGCAACAAGACCCCCAGGGGCTTTGTGTACACTTTTAAACTTGAGAAGTACAATACAGCACACCACCTGGCGCCTGTAGCATGCAAGGTGACTCTACACAGTAAAGTAGTGAACGTTTTTTATTTTAATTATTAGGTTTGAAGAAATCAGAAGAAAAGATTGCTAACTCATGAAACCAGTTGCTTCACAGATTTTCTTTAAGGTGATGCTAACAAGTAGCCAGGTATATATATTTGAAAGATGAATTGATTTAACAGAATGATTGAGTAAGTAATAGAGTAGTTATACTTGGATATAGCAGAAATGATAAAGATGGCTCTTGAGCGATTGGTGTTTGGGTAACTTTAGTCTGGAAGCTTGGTGGGCTTTGGAGCGGGTCGTACTACCCAGGACCTCTGAAGTGCCTTTAGCCTTAGACAAGGATGCACGTAGAAGGCACAGCTACTGTGTTTGCCAGGGCCCCAGATCAGACTAGGGGTGTCCAGAATCACCTTGCGCTGACCAGACTGGAATACAGACTGAATTCAAGGTCTATGGTCCTTCCTTTATCTCTTTCACTCCGTGCTCCGTTGGGAAGATTCAAGCACCAAGCCTGTATTTCTTTATTGACTACTTAGAGGAACTGTAGGGACAGAAGATTCTTCAGTTCCTTTCTCTGAGCCAGCCTTTAGCTAATTGTCCAGTCTGTGAGCTGTTTATTCAGGAAAGTTTCATTCCCCACACTCAGTTTCTCTGGGGACATAATTACAGAGTTCCTCATGAGGTCAGTTTTTAAGATTTTGCCTACACTTTTTCCCTTCTCTTTCATTTTTTCAGTAACTTTCAAAATCATATAAGTAATACCACTAAATTCTTAAGCACTTAGCACGTAGACGGGGAAATGCTTTATGGGTCACCGTGCTGTGCTTGCACAAGTGCCTTGTGGATTTCCTCTGAACCGTTACTTTCCCACATGTGCTTCCAAAGCAAGCACCTGTGTTGTTCTTCAGTTCCTCTTCCCATATTTTCCTCAGCCCATTTGTACTCTATCTTGATTTTTATGGTTTGTGATTATCCACCTGAATCCATCACCTTAGCCAAACTGTAGAGTTTACTTGGGAAGGATTTCCTTGGAATTGAAACTCTTTAGCCTATTGATAGGTATTACTGCTCCCCATGGAAAACCTTCCCTGGAAGAAGAGCCTAACATCACATTTATAGCTACTGAAAAAAAATCTGAAACATAAAAAGGTATTAACATTAAAAAACCCCACCTTTACAGAGATTTATAAATTGAAGAAGGGTAGTAGCTGGCATTATTGTAAAGAATGACATCTATGATAATTCTTGAGTCGTCTGCACACAAAACTAAGGTGTATAAAATGATAGTGTTTACAGCTTTATTTATAACTAGAGGCCTGGTGCATGAATTCGTGCACAGGTGGGGTCCGTAGGCCTTGCCAGTTATCGGGGCCAGCTGGCCTGGAGGAGGGACCGCGGGATGTTGGCCGGCCACAGGAGGTTGGCTGTGGGAACGCATTGACCACCAAGGGGCAGCTCCTGCATTGAGCATCTGTCTCCTCGTGGTCAGTGCACATCATAGCAACTGGTCGCTTAGACTTATATATATATATATATATATATATATACTAGAGGCCCAATGCATGAAATTCGTGCATGGAGGGGTAGGTTCCCTCAGCCTGGCCTGCACCCTCTCGCAATCCATGACATCCCTCTTGCAATCTGGGACATCTCTCTCGCAATCCGGGACTGCTGACTCCTAACCACTGGCCTGCCTGCCTACCTGATCACCCCTAACCACTCTGCCTGCCTGCCTGATCACCCCTAACCACTAGCCTGCCTGCCTGATCACCCCTAACCACTCGCCTGGCTGCCTGATTGCCCCTAACTGTTCTCCTGCCTGCCTGATTGCCCCTAACTGCCTCTGCCTCGGCCCCGCCACCACAGCTTCATCCGGAAGGAAATCCGGAATGATGTCCGGAAGGTCATTCAGCTGTCTGGTCTAATTAGCATATTACACTTTTATTATTATAGATAGATAGCCTAAACTGAAAGCAGTCTCGGTGTCCCTCAGGATCATTTGTAAGTAGTACCATTATTGAGCCAGTGGAATAACATTCAGCAGTTAAATATGTTAGATTTTTGTGAAAAGAAGTGGAAAAAAGATAAAATATAGAAAACTGAATAATATGATGTTATTTGCATTTTAAGAAATGAGAGGTGGGGTGGAATAAAAGGATGCTACCAGTAACAGATAGCTGTTAATCCTGGGAAGAGGTCCAGGAAAAAGAGAGAGAGAGAGCGACCTTTAATTATTTTAAAATGTATAATTTTGAATTTAAAACAATTCTGTATGATAAATATTAGTGATTCAGAGGTGTTTAGAGATAATGATAAACAGTCACATCATTTTCTCTTCCCCCAGCCCATACCCCCTCCTGTGCCCACCTGCACCCCTGCCTACCCCCATGATGCTCTTCATGAGGGTTAACCCAGTGTCTTCACTTTCCGGGAGGGACTACTTTTGAGAGAGAAAACATATCAGTCAAGTGGCCAAACGGTTGGCAATTGAGGGAAAAACAAAGATTTTGCCCAGGACCAGAAAGGGAAGGCCCTATGCTAAAAAATGCGCCGTTCTTTCTTTGGTTATTTCAATTAGCCATTTAACGTAATTCAGATAAACATAATGGCATTTTCCTAAAGGAGAATTTGGTTTGACTTTCCTGAATAATTATTCCAGTTACCTATTGTCCCTATAAGGAAAACAAGGTTATTAAATCGTCCTCGTTTCCATGGCTAGTTTGGGGGTGGACGCTTTGGGTTATTGATGGAGTTTTCTTTGAAGTGGACTTTGGTCTTCTTAAAATTAGGCCTACATATGCCTGCATCCGAGGGCTCAGGAAGTGCATTTGAAAATTTTGAGGTATCTCAGTTTTTAAATCAAATAAGTGTTCTACATATAAGTACTATTTAAATATTTAATATAAAATCTAGTAGTGAATATTTTCCAGTTTCCAGTGCCCCCCACCCCAAAAAATTCCTCCCCCAAGACTGTTTCTAGTGCCATCAACTTGTCCATCATTCTGCCTCTGAGGTTAGTACTCTGGGTGTCTGGGAGCCATAACCGGAGATACTTTAGGCCAAGTAAAGTATCTACCAGTTTTCGTACTCGGTTGAGTGGGATGTTTTCTCAACTTTATTTCTGGTTTTGCTGCCACCCAAATTCTCCCTCTGCATTTTTTTCTTCTGATCTGGATTCTCTGGTAGTGACCATACTCATTTCTTTCAGATGGAGACTATTTTACCTTCACAAGACATGAACCCATTGGAGTGTGTGGACAGATCATCCCGGTGAGTGTAGATCCTCATGCTTCGTATTTATTTTCATTTGAACCAGTTCTCTTAAAAGATACATAAAACATGGATCTCAGTGATGTGTGTTTTCCATTACTGGGGGGAAAAAAAACCGAGCTCATGTTGTTGACATATCTTTAACAGCCTCCCTGCAAATGCTTATTTGAACAGGTTAATAGGGTTTCAGCTCCGTTACCAGGAGTTGAGTTCTCAAGTCATGGAATTCTCATGATTAAAATAAGCAAAGCCAAGCCCAATGTATTAATAACCTACCCTGGGTTATGGATGTCCATTCAGCTTATGGAAAATTAATGCTTTGTTATATTTGCTTGTTTATTTTTTAAAACTGTGACTCACCATCTTTCCAGGCATATTGTTTTATATGGTCTTTTAATCCCATTCTTTCTCACTGTTTCTTTTCACAAGAATCTAGATAGAAGACTCTACAGAAGACACAGCAGTACCATTAACGTCACGGTCATAATTGAAACCATGCCGGGCTGTTGTGTGTCTTGTAAAGGGAAATAGATGTAGTGCTTAGTGTTTGGATTGGAACATTAAACATTGTCTTTTTTTCTGCCTCTCTCTCATACACAGCCGTGGCACTATACAAAACACCATCCAGTCCTCCAACAGTGCTAGCTCATCATTCCGGCCAGGATTTCAGGGGAGGCTCAAACTAAACTCTTACATTGTAGACAAGGAGTTTTCTCTTTTCAAAATATAAGAGAATGAGTTAAGATCTTCTTTGGGCTTGGGGGGCAAAATTTTTTTTAGAGATATCAATATTCTTTTCATGAGCTATAGACTCTGGGTTACTGTGAAATTTATTAGAGAATGAAAATGGAAAATGAGAGGTTTGATTTAAGTTTTTCTGCTCCTAACAGCCCCCCCCCTCCTCCCCAAACCCGCCCCCTCCCCGGGAAACCCCACTTGGATCAGAGCAGGGGTGAGGTCTGTTACCTTAATTGCAGGAGCTGAAGCCTGCTCTCCTGGCCCTTCCCAGACTCTCGGGGCAGCAGCTTTCACTGACAGGACAAGAGCTGCCTGTCAGCCACTCCGCTCGGTTACCGCGCTCCAAGATTTATATGCTGTAGATGGAATTGAAACATCACTGTGGACTTCCAAGTTTATAAACAACTAAGGGGAAAAGAAATTGGGTGTTTGGTGAAGGCAAGACACTTGTATATTTTTGCAAGCTTGCCAGGGCCAGTGAGAATCTTTCAGGGGTGGCAGCTGAGATGCTTCAGGCAGAAACACATTGTGATCCGGTGAAGCCAGGGGACCAGCATTTCTGTTTTCTTTCTTAATGAAATGATCAGCAATACCTGATAGTCCTGAGGCTCATGCCTGTGCTTAGGACAATGCAAGCTCAATATTCTTTTAAAATCATTTTTGGCCCCAAATTCAGATACATATATTTTTTAGTCTCCATTAGCTTATTTTGCAGCGGAAAGAAAACAAACTAAGATTTTTGCGTACTCCAAAAGCAAGGATGCACTCTATTTTTATAATCATGTTATTGTGATAATACATATATATATATATATATAAGTAAAAGGCACGGCCTTGAAATACGCATTGACTTAAATATAATTCACAGCTGGAATAGTCTCTTCTAGTTCTTCCACACTGGAGAGCTTTCATACCCGTCTGAAATCCCTGGTACAAAAATCACAAATGCAAGAAAAAGGCTTCATACACAAGAACTTACTGGAACCAAAGTCTAGTTTTAAAAACATATAAAATAACAACAATGAAAAACCAAAACAAAGAAAAACAAAGACTCTCTTTTCACTGTGTGATTTCCTTTGCTGGGTGGTTGGAATATAGTCATTTGGATTTTCAAGGCCAGTCCTATTTTATTCTTAATGAAGTAATTTAAAAAATCCAAACATCTACACTTTGTGGTGGCACAAGATTTATGTTGAGGAGTAGTCTGAGAAATCTGAGAAGTCACAGCTTGAAAACAAAGTAGCGGAGGGATATTTTTTCATCTATCAACCGCGGGTTTTTTCCTTTCAGTGGAACTTCCCCCTGCTGATGTTTGCCTGGAAAATTGCTCCAGCTCTGTGCTGTGGCAATACGGTAGTTATTAAACCAGCAGAGCAAACACCACTCAGCGCACTCTACATGGGAGCCCTCATCAAGGAGGTAAGAGAAGCCGCCCTCAGAAGCGGCCCCTGCTCCGTACGGTTGGTGCCTATCGGAGCATATCTGATTTCACCTGCTTCTTCAGCCCTCACAAGCCACCCTTCCTCCCATTCTGTTTTGTTAGGCTGGCTTTCCACCAGGAGTCGTCAATATTTTGCCAGGATATGGGCCAACGGCTGGGGCAGCAATAGCTTCTCACATTGGCATAGACAAGATTGCGTTCACAGGGTCTACTGAGGTAGGTACCTGGGAAACCATGGGTTGAACAATCCTGCACATGATAGAGGGTTTAAAAGAAACAGGAAATGTTACTCAGAGGCTGGTCACCAAAGGAGCAGTGAGCACCTAAGCCGTCCAAGGACATCATTGGTGTCATAGCTGGGATACTGGCGAATCTCAAAGTAAAGGCACATGTTGACCAGTGAGGCTACAGACCCCTGATCTTTTTCTGTGTGATGCCATCTGTGTAAAACCTGTCTCAGACAAGTAAACAAAACCCTATCATCTTTTGAAATAAAAGGAATACAGAGGCAAAAACAAATAAAAAACTATTTCAGAAGAGACTTTCCCAATGACTGGGTTTCTGGACATTCTCTTGAGTCAAGAACAATAATGGCAGAAGCCAGTTAAGAAGCTGGAAATTAAACTAATCTCTGGTAGAGATTAAAATGGGAAGTGTTCTCTTCTGTTTATTTCCACCAGATCCTGTAGATGCAACTGGCAACTACCAATGCCCATGAGTCATAAGGGATGATATAGAGCAGGGGTCAGCAAGCTTTTTTCTGTAAAAAGGCCAGGTGATAAGTAGTGTAGACTTTGCAGGCACTACAGTCTCTGATGCAGCTACTCAACTATGCCCTTGTAGCACCAAGTAGCCACAGGCAGTATATAAGCTGAGCATGGCTATAGGCCCATAAAGCTTTATTGAAAGACTAGAGGCCCGTTGCACGAAGAGATTCGTGCAATAGGCCTTCCCTTCCCCTGGCTGCCGGCCGGTTTTCCTCCGGCACCCGGGACCCAGGCCTTCGCTCCGGCCGGAGCCTTCAGTCTTCGCTCCGCCTTCAGTCTTTGCTCTGCCACTTGGTGCCTACATATGCAAATTAACCACCATCTTTGTTGGGTTAATTTGCATACTCTCCTGATTGGCTAGTGAGCATAGCGGAGGGACAGTCAATTTACATGTTTGTCTATTATTAGGTAAGATACTGAAATTTGAATTTCATATAATGTTTATGCCTCACAAAATATGAATCTTTTCAAAATTTGTTTTCCAACCATTTAAAGTCACAAAAACTGTTCTTAGCTTGTGAGCCATACTGGATAGGCAAGGGGCCAAATTTGGCCCCTGAGCCATTGTTTTTTGATCCCTGGCTGATATGGAGTCACAAGTTTGCTTAGAGGGTTTATAATAAAATGTTACCCCAAAATGTCTTGGGTTGAGATAACAGAGGTGATAAAAGATAATCTGACTCACTTTACCAAGCAGAACTTTACAGATGACATCATCATCAAACAAAGGATGTTTGCAGGTCTAGAGCAGTGCTACCTAATAGAAATATAATGAGAGCAACATTTGTAATTTAAAATGTGCTATTAGCCACATGAAATATTTTAAGTTAATTAATTTTAGTTATATATTTATAGTTATATAATTTTAGTTATATATGATTTCAGAGAGGAATGGAGAGGGAGAGAGACAGAAACATCAATGATGAGAGAAAGTCATTGATTGGCTGCCTCTTGCATGCCCCCCACTGGAGATCAAGCCTAAAACCTGGGCATTTGCCCTGACCGGGAATTGAACTGTGACCTCATGGTTCATAAGTCAATGCTCAACCACTGAGCCACGCCAGCTGGGCAATTTTATTTAATCTGGTATTTCCATATTATCATTTCAATTTATGATCATTATAAAAATCATTATCACAGTAGTTTACATTCTTTTTTCATTATGAAGTCTTCAAAATCTGGTATATAGTTTACATTTACAGCACATCTCAATTCACATTTTGACTTTTCAAGTGCTTTATTATTATTTTTAAAAAGATATTTTTATTTATTTCAGAGAGGGAGAGGGAGATAGAGTTAGAAACACCTATGGTGAGAGACAATCATTGATCGGCTGCTGCCTGCACACCCCACACTGGTGATTGAGCCCAAAACCTGGACATGTGCACTGACTGGGAATCAGACATGACCTCCTAGTTCATAGGTTGACGCTCAACCACTGCGCAATGCCAGCTGGGCTCAAGTGCTTTATATTGGACAGCACAGGTCTAGGGACTTGAGTATATCAGCTGAAACAGTTAATGGTACTTGGTTAAGCTGACAGATGTGAACATATTTAACAAGAAATTAATTGATTAATAAACCTGATGTTAATTTATAGTACACACTGTTTTATGTTTGTCAACCTTTTATTTTAGTTGTATTCACTATAGTAATTTTGAAATTTCAGTGAAACAACCCAAAATGTGAGCATGAAAGAGAGTTATTATTCCTATTTCAACTAAGTCTAATGTGTTGAAAAGATTTGCTAAGGGCTAGATGCTTAGAAAAACTGCAGTCAATGAAGAGTGGGTGCAAAAGATCAGGGGGGAATATAAATATATAAATCTAGATAGAGTGTGCACCTGGATTGCTTTGCAAATGTTTTTAAGTCCTCACTGCATTTTAAAGAAACTGAAACCAGAAATCTTAAACAATATTTTAAGGATATAGTTTACTAAGAAAGGACAGGTCTACCCCTAGTTAAAGAAAAGTCCTTGATCCTATATCCAAAGATTGCAGAGTGAGTGTACATATTCTTAAAACTAAAATGAAGTACTTAAAGTATCTTTCCCTATGCTTTAACTTTATTCTCATTAACCAACCAATGGTCCTGGTTGAGTCAGTTGAGAGTCTTGGCTATATGATAATTTTTAATAAAAATGAGTTCATAATATATAAAATGAGATATCAGACTTTATATGTCAGCCTCTATAGATCACCTTCATTCTTTTTTAATAGCTGCAAGAATACTTTTGCATCAGTCTATCATAGTTTAATACAGTGTAACACTCATTCATGTACATTTATATTTTTTCACTTTTTTACACAGCCTATTACACATACTATTGAAATAAAAATTCTTGGAGATCTAAGACAAATATATATATATATTCTGTTTGATATGTTTTAGAAGTGGAATTGCAAAACAAAAGGATATTTATATATTAACGTGCTTATCACCAAGAATGCATTAGAGCAATGGTTTTATTTTTGAGATCTTTTTATATATTGTGTTAATCTTCTGTTTCTTGTAGAATTTACAAATATTCTCAGTGTGTTAGTTGCTTTCTAATTTTTTTTAAAAAAGAGTTGTCATGCACAGGTTTTAAATTTGTATACAGTCATATCTTTCAGCCTTTCTCTTAATGGCTTCTGGGCTTCCTGTCATCTTTAAAGATCCTCTTCAAGATTATACAAATGGCCCTTAACGTTTTCTTTCAGTACCTTTATGGCTTTGTTTTTGTTTAAATCTTTAATCTGGTTGGAATTTATTTTCATAAATAATGAAAGAAGAGGTCTAAGTTTATTTTTTTTATAAATGAGTGTTCAGTTCCTTCCACACCATTTATTAAACAATCTATCCCTTTGCAGCTCATTTGAATAAAACATTAACAGTATATGATAAATTTCCATATATTCATGTTTCTGTTTTGAGACTCAAAATTTTATCTGTCTATTCTTTCACTGGTGCCAGATTGCTTTAATTACTAGATTATAAAAGATGTGTTGCAGTGTGGTAGGCAAGACACCCTGTTATACGGTTTCTCAAAACCTTTTGGCTATTCTTGCCCATTCTTTCAGATAAAATTTCAAATCCATTTTCTAAGCACCTTTCCTTCTTCCCCAAAAATCTCTCATTGGAATTTGGACTGGTGTTACATTACCCGTTTATATTAAATTGAGGGTAAGTACTTTAGCCACAAGATTGACTTCTCATGTAGGAACATGGTGTAAATCTCTTATTTGTCCCGTCATGTTCATCACCAATGTCATCATAAAGGTCTTACACATTTCTTGATCAATTAATTTCTAGGCATTTAACTTTTTCTTCCAAAGATATTTTAATCCAAAAACTGAGCACCTTTTTTTTAAAGCCACAATAGCATGTATTGGAAACTTAGTTGAATGGGTGACTTAATCTTTTTGGCCAGACAAGATGTGGCGTAGTGAATCAGTAAGAACATAATGCTTGCTTCCAGGCTGCTTGGTTCAAATCTGTTTTGACATTTAAGTTTTTCTTTTAACTTTTATAAATACTTTATTGAATTATCATTTACATCCAACAAAAATGCACCCATATAAGTACCAAATGTACACACTCATGAAACGATCAAGATATAGAATTTTTCCATACCCTAAAAGATTTCTCATGCCTCCTTGTGACTAACACCCTTGGTCCCAGGCAACTGCTACTTCTTTTTATTCATTTTGCCTAGTCTAGAATTTCATATCAATGGAATAATACAATATGTACTTTTCTGTGTCCATTTTTGGTTGTTGTTTAATATGAAATGAATTATTGATATGGTTGCATTTAAATATCCCATCCTGATTTTTGTTTTCTACTTGTCCCATCTGGTGTTTTGTTCCTTTTTCCTCTTTTTCTACCTTCTCTTGGATGAATTGAGTACTCTATTTTATCTTCTATTTTGGATTATTAGTTATGCCTCTTTTTAAAGTGTTTGCTTCAGTATTATAATATACATCTTAACCAGAGTCTACCACTAAATGGTATTATGTTACTTCATACATCTATATGATAAAAGCCTAAGCGACCGTTACGGTGGAACAACTAGAACGACCGGTCGCTATGATGCACACTGACCACCAGGGGGCAGATGCTCAATGCAGGGGCTACCCCCTGGTGGTCAGTGCACTCCCAAAGGGGGAGCGCCGCTCAGCCAGAAGCTGGGCTCATGGCTGGTGAGCACAGCGATGGTGGCGGGAGCCTCTCCCGCCTCTGTGGCAATGCTAAGGAGCAGCGAGCCAAGCAATAAGGGGCAGTGAGCAGGCAGGCGGTAAGGAGCGAGGGGTCCCAGACTGCGAGAGGGATGTCCAACTGCCGGCTTAGGCGGACATCTCCTGAAAGGTCCCGGACTGCAAGAGGGTGCAGGCTGGCTGAGGCATGCCCCCCCTCCAGCCCCTACAAATTTTGTGCACTGGGTCTCTAGTAGTATAATAACTGTA